CGAGTTCCTCGGCCCTGCTCTTCCTGCCCAGACGCTCGTCGGGGACCGGGGCCAGGTACCGTGTCCCTCCCCGCTGCCGGCCACATGTCACCCTGTCCCCGAGGGGCCCAGGTGTCCGGGTGACCCCCCCGTCCTGCCGTGTCCTTGCCAGGTTGCGAGGGGACACCGTGGTCTACAGCATCCTCAAGAGGAGCCAGGGGGACGGCAAGGTGACACTGTGTCTCTCCAGGTTCCCTCATGTCCCTCCATGTCCCCCAATGTCCCCCATGTCCCTCCATGTCCCCTATGTACCCCATTCCCCCAATGTTCCCAATGTCCCTCCATGTTCTCCCATGTCTCCCATGTCCCTCCATGTCCCCCAATGTCCCCCATGTGCCCCAATGTCCCCAATGTCCCTCCATATCCCCCATGTCCCCCATGTCCCTCCGTGTCCCCTAATATCCAATGTCCCTCACGTCCCTCAATGTCCCTCAATGTCCCCCATGTCCCTCCACATCCCCCATGTCCCTCCATGTCCCCCATGTGCCCCAGTGTCCCCCAATGTCCCCCGTTCCTCCCAGGCTCCTGAAGGTCCCGACTACGAGAACGTCCCCCCTGGCCAGGGACATGGGGACGGGGATGGACACGAGGACGGGGCCCTGCTCTACGCGGCGCTGGCCCTGTCCTCCCTGGGGACATCGCAGGGACGTCACGGGGATGGGGACACCAAGGACACGGTGGAATACGCGTCCCTGCGCCGCTGAAGGCCATAGGGGGACATTGGGGGACATGGGGAACACGCGGGGACATGGGGGGGATGTGGAGGGACATGGGAGAACATGCAGGGACATGGTGGGGATGTGGAGGGACATGGGGGACATGGAGGGACATGGGGGGCATGGGGGACATGGAGGGACATGGGGGGACCCAGGTGTCCTGGCCTGGAATGGCCCCTTCTGGCAATAAAAGTCACCTGTGGGGTTATTAAGTCTTGTGTTGGCCTGGACGCCTGGGCCCCTCAGACACTGGGGTCCATGGTGGGGTTTGGAGGCACCCCCGGATGCCTGGGCCCTTGCGCTGTCCCAGGACTCATCCAGGTCCCTGTCCCTTGTCCCCTGTCTTGTCCCCATCTTCGTGTTGGGTTGGGTTGGGTCGATTGGGTTGAGTTGGGTTGAGATGACTTGGGCTGGGTTGAGATGACTTGGGTTGAGTTGGGTTGGCTTGAGTTGGATTGAGTTGGATTGAGATGAGTTGAGTTGGGAATGGGTTGAGTTGAGTTGATTTGCGTTGAGATGACTTGGGTTGGGTTGACTTGGATTGAAATGAGTTGGGTTGGGTTGGATTGGGTTGGGTTAAGATGAGTTGAGTTGGATTGAGTTGGGTTGAGTTGAGATGGGTTGAGTTGGGATTGGGCTGGGATGAGTTGAGTTGGGTTGGGAACGGGGAACATGCAGGGACATGTGGGGGACGTGGAGGGACATTGGGGACATGGCAGAACATGGAGGGACATGGAGGGACCCAGGTGTCCTGGCCTGGAATGGCCCCTTCTGGCAATAAAAGTCACCTGTGGGGTTATTAAGTCTTGTGTTGGCCCAGACACCAGGGCCCCTCAGACACTAGGGTCCATGGTGGGGTGTGGAGGCATCCCTGGATGCCTGGGCCCTTGCGCTGTCCCAGGACTCATGCAGGTCTCTGTGTCCATGGTGGGGTTTGGAGGCACCCCCAGATGCCTGGGCCCTTGCGCTGTCCCTGTCCCCTGTCTTGTCCCCATCTTCGTGTTAGGTTGGGTTGGGTTGAGATGAGTTGAGTTGGATGGAGATGAGTTGGGTTGAATTGGGTTCAGATGAGTTGAGTTGGGTTGGGTTGAGTTGGATTGAGTTGGGTTGAGATGAGTTGGGTTGGGTTGGGTTGGGTTGAGATGAGTTGAGTTGGGTTGAGTTGAGTTGGGTTGGGTTGAGTTGAGTTGGGTTGAGATGAGTTGAGTTGGGTTGAGTTGAGTTGGATTGAGTTGAGTTGGGTTGAGATGAGATGAGTTGAGTTGGGTTGAGTTGAGTTGGATTGAGTTGGGTTGAGATGAGTTGGGTTGGGTTGAGTCCAGTTGGATTGAGATGAATTGAGTTGGGAATGGGTTGAGTTGAGTTGATTTGGGTTGAGATGATTGGGTTGGGTTGTGTTGGGTTGGGTTGAGTTGGGTTGGTTTGAGTTGAGTTGCGTTGAGTCCAGTTGAGTCGAGTTGGGTTGAGGTGAGTTAAGTTGCACTGGGTTGAGTTGGGATTGGGTTGAGATGGGTTGGTTAGAGATGAGTTGTCTTGGGTTGAGTTGGGTTGGGATTGAGTTGAGTTGGGTGGGGAATGGGTTTAATCCAGTTGAGTTGGGTTGAGATGAGTTGAATTGAGTTGGGATTGGGCTGAGATGGGTTGGGTTGAGTTGGGTTGGGAATGGGTTGAGTCCAGTTGGGTTGAGTTGAGTTGGGTTGAGTCTAGTTAGGTTGGCTGGCACCAACATGGGTTGAGTTGGGTTGAGAACCCCCAGGGTCTCCAGAACCTCCCAGAGCCTCCAGGACCTCCCGTTATTCAGAAGGGTCTCCAGGACCTCCATCATTCCCAGGGTCTCCATAATCCCAAGGACCTCCAGAACCTCCCAGGGTCTCTCTCCTGTCCTCAGCCTCTCCCCCCTCGACTTCTTCTTCCCTGGACGCCTTGGCCCCTCGGTGCCAAGACCGTGGAACTAGAGGGAAGGGGGTGGAGGTAGTCCATTGTGATGTAATCCATTGTGAGGTCGTCAGAGACCCATTGTGAGATCGTCCATTGTGAGGTCAGGAGAGGCCCATTGTGATGTCGTCCATTGTGACGTCATCCATTGTGAGGTCGTGAGAGGCCCATTGTGAGATCGTCCATTGTGAGGTCACGAGAGGCCCATTGTGAGGTC